TAATGTGCATGAATAATGTAGTAATTAGTAGTAGTAGTAGTAGTGCATAATAAATGTAGTCATAGGGTAAATTCGTATAAGTAATAATTGTGTAAGAAAAAAGGTCAAATTAGTTTTAGCTATAAATAGAAAAGAAAGTTAGTTAGTAAAAATGTTAGTAAAGAAGAAAAATAACCAAGTAATAAAGAAAATACTTTCCCTTTTGCTTATAAACTGCAGGCTTCCTTTTAAGTTGTAATAAAATCAGTCTTAATATTCTGATCCTGTTACAGTTGGTAGCAGCAGATAAACTATTTATATATTTAAAAAAAAAAAAAAAAAAAAAGAGAAAGAGAAGAGAGATAAACACATAACAAACGCAAAAAACCAGAAACCTACCCTACTAGTAATAATAATAGAAGATCAAGGCACACCAGAAATGTCCAATTTCTTTTAACTTTTTCAACAATTCCTATTCAACCAAGACCAAATAAATCAGTATCTTGCTTCTTCAACACAACAAACAAATACCTACCTACAAACATTATCCATGGGAACAACAACTGGTACTGGAGACCAAAATGCCACACCGTTAAGAGGGTTGACTGTTCAACTTCTGGTTTTTAGTAGCAGAGATGGCGAAAACGTTCTTACATGGTTGCTCCAAGTCGATCTCCTTTTCAAGGCAAGAAAAGTTGATGATGATGAACGGTTACAGTATGTGATCATAAGACTCCAAGATGCAGCATTGCAATGGTACCTAAACCAGGTACAAGCTGATGAAAGTTACCAACCATTTGCAAGTTGGAATCTTTTGCTGCTGGAATCAAAGATGCATTTCAACTGCCTCATCATCAACAAATGTTGCGATGACAATTGAGAGACTTGAAGCAAACCACAACCGTTCAAGAATATGTTTCAAGATTTCGGAACATACTTGGACAGATAGATGGAATGCATAAAGCTGATAAGGTCATGTATTTTACGGAAGGGTTAAAGGGAGCGACAAAAGCAGAAGTAAATTACCACACACCTGAAAATTTGGATGATGCTATAAAGTTAGCTGCCAGTTATAACTCTGCAATGTATGGTATAATAAAAAATGTTAATAAGCGATATTCTGAGAAAGATTCAAGGATGTTGATGCAAAATAATTGAAAATATAGTAAACATGGTGGCAGTTACTCATCACAAAGCAAAGGTCAAGCTCCTACCTCGATGGAATTAGATAGAGTGGAGTCAGGAAATCCCATAAAATTTAGACCTATTAAGGAAAAAAATAAAGGAAGTAAGACAGTGTAGAATGAACAAAAAAATGAATACAAATAACAGAGATTATGTTTTATTTGTAGGAAGAAAGGTCACATGGCAAAAGAATGCCGAAGTAAAGCCTGAACATATAATGAAATCAATAAGATTGAAAATGCCGAGCCAAAAGTGGCTGAAACAACAAACGTAGAGAAAAATGAAGAACACAAAAGGCTGAATAGAGAAAGTCTTTTAAAAGTGAAGGGGGAGATACAAGGGAAAAGAGCCCTTATTTTGATCGATTGTGGAGCATCCAAGGATTTTATAAACCTAAATTTTGTGGAAAAATTGCAATTAGAAATGGATGAGAAAGAAGTTGACAATACAACAGTGGAATTAGCAGATGGATCACTGTGCAAGTCATGAAGAAACATGACAGATTATGCTGTTGAATTCAAGGGTATAAGGAAAAAAGAAAAACTATGTAAGTCATACCCTTGCAGAAGTATGACATGATCCTTGATAAACCATGGCTTTATGACCATAATCCTCACATTGACTGAAGATATAATAAAATGAAAATAAAAAAAGGGTGACGTACTTTCATAATTAAGGCTAGTGAACAAAATGACACAAAAGCATGTCAGTCAATTTTAGTAACAAGAAACCAATTTGTTAAGAATACAAAAAGTACTGCAGAATTATATGCAATACTCTTATCCAACATTACAAATAAAAAACCTGTGATCGACCAAATACCAGAATTTTTAAAGGATTTGGTGTTTCAATACAAGGACTTGTTTTCTAAGAAATTGCTGGATAAATTACCACCATGCAGAAGTGTAGACCACGAAATTCCATAGCAAGTAGATAGTACACCACTATATGGACCTATATACCGATTATCCATTCTGGAAATGAGAGAATTGAAAAAACAAATTGAAGAATACTTACAAAAAAATATAATAAGGCCAAGTATATCTCCATACGGGGCTCCTGTGATGTTTGTAGCAAAGAAGAAAGGAACTCTTAGAATGTGTGTTGATTACAGAGCCCTAAATAAAGTAACAATCAAAAACCGGTATCCCTTGCCATGTATAGA